TTTTCATTAATCCTTATTCTTTTAAAACACTGATCAGCATAGTTGCAGCTTTATTAAATTTCTCTTGAATTACTTTTCAAAGCAACAATTCCATTGAAGTGGATGCTTTGAGTTTATTAGCCTGAAGTAAATGCATCTTTACAGACCCTTCCTAAGGGCCATGAAATAAGTATAGAATATACAGTACACAGGCAAGATTAATAAAGAATTAGTTTTTCTATTCTAATATCAAAAATACCAGTCAAATGTATTTATGAATTTTGAATCATTTTATGTGAAGGGGAAAAAGGAAGAGGACTGTGAATTCTAGATTATAGCTCAATACATTCAAGAAGTTAAATAAAAGAGGAATAGATAACCTGATGTTTTTTAAACAGAGAAATGTTTTGATGTAGTGGTTAAAGCGCTAGGCTAGAAACTAGGAAATTCTTGGGTTCTAGTCCTGCCTTAGTCATGAAAACTGGCTGGGTGACTTTGGGCCAGTCATTCTCTCTAAGCCCAACCCCCTCACAGAGTTGTTGTGGGGAAAATGAGAGAAGAAAGGTATATTGGATATATTCGTCACCTTGAGTTATTTATGCAATAATGACGGGATACAATAAATAAATAATAGGCTTTCCTTATGAAAAAAAGGGGATTATAAAAATATGTGTCTTTTTTGTGACCAATCATAATATGCAGCCATTTTGAAGGGCAGGACTGGTTTTAGGAGATACCTGCTATTCTCTAAATAGTCGATTTCCAGTAACATTGCTGGAACATGCAATCAATTAATGGTGTTTCTCAACAGTTTTTAAGATGTGTGGACTTCAATTCCCAGAATTCCCAGTAAGCTTGCTGACTGGAGGAATGCTGGCAGTTGAGGTCTACACTTCTTAAAGTTGAGAAATACAGACTTAAGACATCACAATCTTCTCAGTCATATTTTAGTTTATGATATTTGTGTTTTCTACGTTTAAGAAAATGGGGCTAATTTCTCTTCAGACCTCATCTTCACTGATTTTGGCAGAATATAAATGATCTCACTTGCCTCCTGACATTTCTGTGAGGTTAAAAAAAAGTTTTATTGCAATGATTTCACACTTAACCATAAACTGTAGTTCATGATGAATTTTTATTCAGAGCAGATCTCAGTGTGCTTGGTTGCAGTGGCTCTTGTACAGAGCAGCTGTTCTGTTAGTTGTCAGTACACAATTAATTATCCTAATAGAATAAATAAAGGTCTGTCTAGATAGGATTTATTTTTCTATCTGTGTGAGTAGATTGGATAATTTTATTTAAAAACCCCATATCTTATTGCATAAACATATTCAATTAAAGAGTGCTAATTTATCTGTAACTTTTTCCTTCAGCGAATTTTAATCATTCCCTGTATTAACTGGAAAAGGCTGAGGAGAGGGGAAAAAAGAGGAATTTCTCTTTAAATGAACTAAGGCTTGCGACCAAAGTCAAAAATAACAAAAAAAGCTTCTTTCAACATGTAAAAAATAAGAAAAAAGTGAAGGAAATGATTGGTCCATTAGTGGGTGGAAGTGGCAAGAAGGTGACAAGCAACAGGGAGAAAGCAGAACTATTTAACTCATTTTTTGCATCTGTCTTTACACAAAGGGAAAAAACAGACCAACCTATCAAAAATAGTGCCATAAAAAACAAAACAGAAACACAAGTTAAGATAGGCAAGAAAATGGTTAGTGAGCACCTGTCCAGCCTAGATGAGTTCAAATCGCCAGGACCAGATGGATTACACCCCAGAGTTCTCAAGGAACTGGCAGATGTGATATCGGAGCCACTGAACTATATTTTTCAAAGATCCTGGAACACAGGGGAACTACCAGAGGACTGGAAAAGAGCTGATGTAGTTCCCATCCTCAAAAAAGGAAAAAAAATGGATCCAGGAAATTACAGACCTATCAGCCTGACCTCAATACCTGGGAAGATCCTGGAAAAGATAATCAAACAACAAATCAACGAACACCTAGAGGCAAACAAAGTCATTACTAAAAGCCAACATGGGTTTGTCAAAAATAGATGATGCCAGACAAATCTTATTGCATTCTTTGACCAAGTGACAAAATTAGTGGATCAGAGGAATGCTGTGGACATAATTTACTTGGACTTCAGTAAGGCATTTGATAAAGTAGATCACAACCTACTACTTAATAAGATAGAAAAATGTGGGGTAGACAGAATCACCACCAGATGGATCCGTAGCTGGCTGACCGGCCGTAATCAGCGAGTGGTCCTCAATGGAACTGTATCTATATGGAGGGAAGTGTGTAGTGGGGTGCCCCAGGGCTCTGTTCTTGGCCCAGTGCTCTTCAACATCTTCATCAACGAAGGGATAGATGGGGAACTCATCAAATTTGCAGACGACACCAAGCTGGCAGGAATAGTCAACACTCCAGAAGACAGGCTTAAGATAGAGAAGGATCTGGACAGACTTGAACACTGGGCACTAACTAACAAAATGAAATTCAATGGTGAAAAAAGCAAGGTTCTACATTTAGGCAAGAAAAACCAAATGCACAAGTACAGCATAGGTGGCACCATGCTCAATAGTAGTAACTGTGAGAGGGACCTCGGAGTCCTATTAGACAATCACCTAAATATGAGCCAGCAGTGTGCTGCAGCTGCCAAAAAGGCCAACACAGTGCTAGGATGCATTAACAGAGGGATAGAATCAAGATCACGTGAAGTATTAATACCACTCTTCAATGCCTTGGTAAGGCCACACTTGGAATACTGCATCCAGTTTTGGTCACACGATGTAAAAAAGATGTTGAGACTCTAGAAAGAGTACAGAGAAGAGCAACAAAGATGAGTAGGGGACTGGAGGCTAAAACAGATAAGGAACGGTTGCGAGAATTGGGTATGTCTAGTTTAACGAAGAGAAGGACAAGGGGGGACATGATAGCAGTATTCCAATATCTCAGGGGCTGCCATAAAGAAGAGGGAATCAAGCTATTTTACAAAGCACCTGAAGGCAGGACAAGAAGCAATGGGTGGAAACTAATCAAGGAGAGAAGCAACCTAGAACTAAGGAGAAACTTCCTGACAGTGAGAACAATTAATCAGTGGAACAGCTTGCCTCCAGAAGCAGTAAATGATCCAACACTGGAAGTTTTTAAGAAGAGACTGGACAGCCATTTGTCCGAAATGGTGTAGGGTTTCCTGCCTGAGCAGGGGGTTGGACTAGATGACCTTCAAGGTCCCTTCCAACTTTACTACTACTACTACTACTATTATTATTATTATTATTATTATTATTATTAAATAAACAAGATTCCTCAGGGTTATAAGAAACTCTTCATTTTAGTGGACCTCTTCTCCCTCTCTCATGAACTGGTGAAAGTTGTGGAGCTGAGAGAAAGAGGCAACTCTTTCTATCAGAGGGTTGCCCTATGAATTATACAGATAGTCCTCGTTTAGCATCTACAAGTGGGACTGGGAAGTGGTCACTACAGGTGGCAACTTGGGTTTTTGTTTCGTTTATCAATTTGTATGCCATAACTTGAGGCAGCTTGCGCAACAGGATTGGGACATCAAGTAAAAAAGAAATTAACAAAAGAGCCAAAATGAAAATCAGAATACAAGATTATTATCTTTTTTAAAAGATAAAATTGGTTAAAAATTCAGATGACTAAGTTATTCAACATAAAATATAAATTATTGTCAAAAGAAACAACTAGGATTGTTTGCATAAACTGCATCATATACCCATAGTTTTCAATTCTTTCAGTATTTTCCTTTGACACATTCATAAGCACTTATTTTATTTTGTAATGTATTTATGCTTTTAAAGAAAGAAAATATAGTTTTGTTCTAGTGATGGGTTTTAATATAGTATCCATATGTCTTTTTTTCAGGGAGGTTGATTTTTTTTGGTTCAGTAATTCTTAATGTTTTCTGCATTTGTTAGTCCTATGGATTAATTGAAAGAGAAGACCATTGAAATATATTCTTGATGATGTACTGGTTTGTACAGCAGTTATGATTGGAATTTAAACAGTTTCTATAAGCAGTCTAAATAACATGAGTAATTTTTGTAGTATTTGTTTAAATGGTGGTATTAGGTCAAAACGATTCATTTTTCTTCTTAATACATTGCTTTGAATACTTTTGTAATTCAAATATTTACGGTGTCTTATGAATGTGTTATAATTATAGCTATTTTAATATATGAATTTTAATATGGTAATGGTCTTTGACTGACATTATCTGAGTTTGGAAGTTAAGCATGGTCCAGCCTGGTTTGTATTTGGATGAGGCAATACTAAAATGTAGGCTAGTATGGGAAGTTGGAAAGCATCTTGGAAGAAGATAATGGCAAAATACTTCCATAGTATTGCATGTATCCATGAAGTCACCTAGACTTGAGTTCAACTTGGAGACTTAATCTTTTATGGTATATTATAATAAATGATCTATAGTAGGGATGATAAACTACTGGCCCATGGGCCAGTTGCATCATGCAGAGCCTGCGTCCCAGCTCTGGCAATGCGAAAAAAGTCATGATATGTCGTGACACATCACTTGATGCGGCGAGTTTGACACCTGTGATCTATAGTATATGCCACTATAATATCTGCATGTTAATATTTTCTTTGGATCTAATTATTAAGGATGGCAATGATATAATTTCAATTTTTTTGCTGTTTTCATAGTTCATACTTAAATTTTTGCCATGCCTGTACAAAATTGAAAGCTGTGTATTATATAAACTTCAATATCTAAACAGGTGGAAATGGACAACTTTTTCTATAGGAGAATATATATGTCTAAGGGAGATATGTATGAATCTTCAAATTGAATGTTAATTATGCATGCATAGTTTTGCACTTATTAATAGTATTCTATATGCTTGCTTTCATATTGAAATGTTTTACTGAAATTAAAAACTTTAACTGAGAGACAAAATTATATAGTATATTAAAATATATGTTTTATATATTTTTATATTTTTGGATAACTTTTAGATACATCTTTTCTTTTTTCTTAAGCATGGTATAATTGCTACAGAAGATGAAGAATATTTTATTGAACCTTTAAGGAACACAAGTGAACAGTCTGATAATTTTCATTTCGAAGTTGGTCATCCACATGTAATTTATAAAAAATCTTCACTGTATCATCAGTTCTTCTATGATCATACCCATTGTGATATTTCAGGTAAATAGGTCAAAATTCCAGTAATAATTTCATTACCAATTGTGAAAAAATACCTAGCTATTTTTATTTTTCATTCAAAGGAAAATACAATGTATATTTTGTTATAGTTTGTTTTCTGGTACTACTTTTTCCCAAGAATATCATGGACCTTAAAATACTAGAAAATACTAAAAGCAAAAATCCCAAATACTGCCTACCTCTTCAGCTTCTATTAAAGCAGCTAAATTGTTATCAAATAGAAAGCCATATGTATTATCAATAGGAAATTCCTTATCAGTTCAAGCTGTAAATCTATTTATAGGTTTCTCAATCAAAGACTTTCGTATCAGAATCAAATTCGGATCCCCAGAGGAATAGGTTTTCCAGTTTCAGATAAAGATTAGTTCTGGAGGCCCCTGGAGTGGCACATATAATACCACGGTTGTGTGAGCTGTACTGGTTATCAGTTGCTTTCAGGTCCAGTTCAAGGTATTGTCATTACCTTTAAAGCTCTTTATGGCGTGGGTCCAGAGTACCTCTGGAGCCATCTCATCTTAATGGGACTAGCCTGTCCCACTCACTTCAGTGAGGAGAAGAGTCTTTTTTGCTGTGGCCCCTACCTTTTGGAATAGTCTGTCATTAGAGGTGAGGTCCACCCTCACACTACTGGCCTCTGGAAGAGCCTTAAAACCTGATTCTGCTGGTTGATCTGGGGCCCCAATAAGGGTGTGCTATGTTGGGGTGGCTGATGGAGTAGAGAGAAGATCCGCTCTCCCATACTGCCTATCTTCTTGGTTTTTAGTTTTTTTTATTTAATTCTCTTAATTTTAGCTATTTTGTAATCTTTTTCACCTTTTTATTATATTGTAAACCGCCCAGAGTTGCTATAATAATGAGATGGGCAGCATCTAAATTTAATTAATAAATAAAAATAGAATCAATATGTTAAATTTTAAAGAAATGCAGCAGATATTTTGGAAGAAATACAAACTATTTTATAGCTTCTAGAAGCATTTTCCTTAATATAAATGTTTATAGTACTGATATCCGGATAGAGTAATTAATATGCTGATACAGATTGTTATTTTTCACACTAATATTTTCTATTTTTATGTTCAGTATAAATTAAAGCAACATTATATTGTAAAAGTAGGTTTGATTTAATAATGGAATAATTCACATATAACCAATAGGTCAGTATGATCAATTTAGATTTTCAAGTTAAGGTAAGAATCTATTTGCAATGTGTTTTGAGAAACATTCAGAACTTTCCAAAACATTGGAAACATTCTGAATTTTAGCCCAACACAAGTATCCAAAATATGGGTTTCCAAATATGAAGGTTTAGCTATGCAGTTCTACAGTTCTATGTGAATATCACATTAGTGAATAATAACAATAGCAATAGCACTTAGACTTATATACTGCTCCACAGTGCTTTATGGTAGGGGTCCCTAACCTCCAGTCTGCAGCCGTTTGCCTGTCCGCATCCCATTGGAAACCGATCTGCAGAAAAGGTGGGCAAGTGTATGTGCGTGTGCGTGCAGTTCCATTTATGAAAGCAGCATGCACATGAAACCATCCCCTCTCCTTCCCACTGCCACCATCATCTCCACTGGTCCACAAATCCTGGAAAAGTTGGGGAATGCTGCTTTACAGCACTCCCTGAGCAATTTACAAATGTCAGCATATTGACCTTAACAATCTGGGTCCTGATTTGACCAACCTCGGAAGAGTGGAAGGCTGAGTCAACTTTGGGTCGGTCAGGATCAAACTCCTGGCTGTGGGCAGAGTTGGCCTGAAATGCTGCATTCTAACCATTGCATCATTACCATTTATACTTACGTTATCCCCTTTTATAATAAAGTATTTGAGAATAGTTATGGCAAGTATAACGTTTTATACCAAATCAGGTTATCTAGTGTTTTTAATTTTTAAAATTTATAATTTGTATAATTTGTTATGGTTTAATTTTTAAATTTTTCCTATGCTAAACAAAATACCAGCTTATTGAAGAAATTGGAACAAAATAATTTAAAAATACATATATATGTATGCATGTTATATAACATATAATAGATAAATAAATAATAAAAGAGCACTCAGTAATGTCACTAATTATTTTGATTCCTAGAAGAACTCATGGGAAGCGGTAAACCTTGGTGTTTGAACAATACTGTTGCTTTTCCATCTCTTCTACCAGTTAATCAGACTTTGAACAATCATCATCGATTGAAGAGATCAATAAGCACTGAACGTTTTGTGGAGACGCTGGTAGTAGCAGACAAAATGATGGTGGGATACCATGGGCGCAAAGATATTGAACATTATATTTTGAGTGTTATGAATATTGTAAGTTTTATCCCTCTACATATTCACGTAACTTATTTTAGCACTGCACATTGTAATGTTATTAGATTTAAAATATAAGAATATATTAGTAAAGGTGTTATTTTTTCAGATGCTTCTTTCTAAGAATGTATCCCAGTTGTCAATGAAGTATGTTATTTACTTCTTTGGAAAATGGCTATGAAATATGAACCAATCATGTGCTAGCAATACACCAAATGCAGTCTTTTAGATACAATAAAGGTAGTTCTGTTTGAAGTTACCATTGGTTTTGCTTAATGACCATGGCTTTTACTGAACAATCACTCAACAAAGCTCATAAAATTGAATCACATGGCTAATCCCCTTTATAACTATCGCAACTTACAGCTGTAAAGGTTATGTTCCATTACATTCTTACGTTGAGAGCTACCTGTAGTTACAGGTATTTTTAGGCAATTTTTATTTTATTGATTGATTTGATTTTTATCCTTTCATTATTATTGTTTATAAAACTCAAGGTGGCGAATATATCAATACTCCTTCCTCCTCCTATTTTTCCCGGAACAAAAATTCTATTAGATGGGATGGGTTGAGAAAAAGTGACTGGCCCAAAGTCACCCAGCTGGTTTTTCATGACTTAAAGTGGGACTAGAAGTCATGATTTCCTGGATCCTAGGCCAGCACCTTAACCACTAGACCAAACTGATTCTCAGTGATATTTTAGTTCTGCGGCCAGGGCAGTATTTATTAACTGGATGACCAAGTCACAAAAGATTAACCTTGATCCGAAGAGATTACTGCTACCCCCCCTCCTTAAATTTGGTACCAGTTCAGTTAATAGGCTATAACCACCACACTGGCATCTACTTTTCCAGTAGCAAAAGCCTCCACATAATTAATAAATTTGCTTCTTCTGTTAATAAATGCGTCTTCTGTTTACATGGGACCATATCACCAGTCAATTTGTATCATCTGGACAGTGTACTTCACTCTAGGTAGTTAGGAGGGCAATAGCCTTAGTCCTTTTCTCTTGGAGAGGACTAAATAAACTGCACTGAATAAACTTCTGAGCTAGTGCTTCTGCTTCTTCATGGCCTTTTATCAAGTAAAACCACTTTCAGGCACATTGTTAAAGTAGTTATTTAAAAATCAAATTGTGTTGTGGTTCAGTTTCAGTTGACTACTTCAATATTACATTTTTTTAATGGGTTGGTACCCTTTAACTGTTCTTGTAAAGAATTTTAAAGGAGATTCCTGTAACCCACATCAGCCTAATCCTAATCCTCCATACATTCTTTCATGTAAGGACTAATTTGTGTTTAGAATATGTGGATAGCGTCTGTTAAGACAATCAATATAATATTGTAAACAGCAAATGTGAGAAAGCAATTTAGGCGCATCATTTTACATTAGTTGCTTTTCTCAAGGGCAGCTAGATATAGAGCACATTATACTAATCTATATGGGAGATGGCTCAAACACAATTTATTGTATCCAAATTTATCTTTTCTTGCAAAAGTAAAATGGAACACTGTCTGGAAAAAAATTCTTAGCAGCACTGGATTCTTTAAAGGATATCTCAAAATTTAATGTAACATTTCAGGGGGAGTACCATAGTTAATATTAATATAAACTTTTTTTCTTATCTTTCAAGATTTAAGTTACCTAATTCTTAGAGTGTTAATAATCTACAGTTTATACTGGATAAATACCAATATACTCAAATAATATATTACCTACACATTATCATACAAATAAAACATTTTTAAAAAGATAAAAAATAGATGAGACATGAGATATATTTCAAAGCTAGCAGGTTTTTATTTGTCTGACTTTATGTCTTTTCTTCTTTTCTGGAGGTCAGGTTGCCAAACTTTATCGTGATTCCAGCCTAGGAAACGTTGTGAATATTATAGTGACTCGTTTAATTGTCCTCACAGAAGATCAGGTAAGCAAGTTCAGATGTCTAAAATATAAGTAATGCAAATTAAATAATAAAATATGCCTAAATATTGTTTGGAAAAAATGTTTAATGATAACACCACTATTACCAAGAGTCATCTGCATTATTTTAAATTTGAAGAGATTAGGGAAGTATTATGTAAATAATTGAATATCAGTTCAATTGAATATCATGAAAATTACATAAGTGGAAGATTGGACAAGTGTTGTCATAACTTGTTCTTTGTTCTTGAATTTTGAAATTGTAAAAACCTTCCAAATAGCACTTTCCTCTGCATAACAGTACTTGCTGTAACAGAGGAAAAGATAAATATTAGACTAAATCTATAATCCTTCTGGCAAAATCATTTTGAAGTTTGAAATTAAATTAAATCTTTAAGATGCATGCACAAAACATACTATAGGAGAGATTTAACAGTGATAAAAATTGGCAAGAAGAAATTATTCCTAGAAATCACTGCTTCTAAATACAGATCATAGTTAGACTTCAGAAGTCTTAACCGCTGACCCTAGTAACTTGTTTGGAACATTTCTGGTATGCATGTTGTATTGCAGCCAAACTTGGAGATAAATCACCATGCAGACAAGTCCCTTGATAGCTTCTGTAAGTGGCAGAAATCCATTCTGTCTCACCAAAGTGATGGAAACACCATTCCAGAAAATGGAATTGCCCACCATGATAATGCAGTCCTTATTACTAGGTATGATTCATTGATTTTTTTTCTCCTTTCTGTTTCTCACTTATTTGTGTTTTTTAAAAAAGCTAAAGTATAAGTATTTGTAGCAATCACATCAAGATGAAAATATTGCTTATACTGACATAGTAATACAATATTCAGTAACAGAGCATACATTTCCATCAGTAATAGATAAAGTATAAAGCCTACAATATATGAAATGAAATAATAGAATTGTATGTTTAATGCTTTTAAAAGTATTTTAGACTTTTTATTTTAGAACAAACCGAGAGCAGGACCTTAAGAAGTTCCTGTGCATGGAATTCTGAAAGTTGTGCATTCTTCTATCTTTTTTGTAATTATGATGTTTGGAATCACCTTATAGATAAATCTATCAAACAAGGTTTAGATCATGGGGTATATCAATGGAAGAAAGCTTTTGCTTTGTACACATGGCTTATGGCTGATTGCTGAGAGAAATAAGACATTGGTCTTCTTTAGTTCTCAAACTTCAAGATACTTTTTTAATTTACTGATCATGTTTTTATTACAAAGCTCAGGCACACATAAATAACATTTATACTATGTTGACCTCATAGTTATTTTGTGGGTAGGTTAAAAGAAAATTACCTGCCTGAAATAGTTCAGTCAGCTTCTGAGATTCATATCTGGCTTTTGTTGCATTACCTCACATCTATTAATATAATCCAGTCTGGTTGAAAATATACAGGTGACCAACAGATGCCAGCAAAATGTTAGAATTTTTTGTTGCTCTTTGCTGCCACCAGTAGCAAAATTTCTGATATTTGCAGTTCTAGTTGTCCTAGCACGTATATTCTATGTAACTTGTAATTATTGCGTTGTATAAAGTCAACCAAGCTGTTATCATTTTCTTGTTATAAATAAATTATGTATATGATATTCTTAGAACAACTTTCCAGGAAGTTGTTGTTCGGAGAGTCTTAAATGTTTTTAAACTACCACCATCTCAGAGCCTGCAAATGAATGGAAGTTTTTAGAATATTATAGATGTTTTGTCTATTAAATGTTATATACACACTTATATATCCATTTCTTTTTCATGGCATCACTGAGTTGGCAGTTTTACTGCCAAAAGGAAGAGCCTATTTTCCAGTAAAATTCTTGCCTTGAGTCTCAGGTTTTGTCTTAACTCCTATGGTCATGGTTTGCCAGGACATATATAGCAATTATTATCAGTACTTACATGAATTTTTAGAACTGAATTTACTTTTCTCTGTACTTTCTACTAGTTTACTAACATGCACTTTGTGTCATAATTATTCAGAAAGATATTTAAATGCAGAATGGCAATATTACTGTACACTGGCATGATCTACCTAGGTGTTCTCTTAAACTACCATTATATTTTTAGTTGTATAACATTTCTTCCGCAGGTCCCTCCACTCTCTTCCAGGATATGATTTTTCTTCTAAGACAAGACAAATGACATGTACATGGCTCATGGAAAGGGCTAGCAAGTTCTTTTATTTTATTGTGGAGGAGAAAGGCATATTTATTCAAGATCAGTGATATCTAAGTGGGTGGGCTACTTAATTTAAGAATTACTATTCCAGAACTTACAGCTAATAAGAACTGGCTCACCTTCCATGGTATTTAGTCTTTTATGTCACAAAAGCCTTTATTCAAGAATAATACTATACTCTGAAGGCATTGTTTAGTTTCATTTCTATAAAATAGTTTCATTTTGTCAGCTAATAGATAATTTTAATCTAATATTTAGACCTAATATAACAGGTCTAATGTTTGTTTTCAAGTATTCTTTTTTATCTTACTTTTAGGGTCTCTGCTTTCATGTGTAACATTTATAATAAAGTTCTTCTTAGTATTTTGTACTGTCCATATTATGATATGAGAGCAATCCATACGCTTATGATTGAAGAAAATATATTTAGATTCATCATTGGTGTAAATATTCAATGTGTGGAATATGATAGCTTCCTCAAGGATAATTACTGTACCTCCAAGGAGTGTCTTGTTTTCAGGTAGCCCAATATCATAGCTTCTATAATTGGAAAACTAACTTTGGAGGCTGGTAATTAAAAGGGGAAATATTGGCATCAATTTTTCTTAAATCATGTCTTCCATTACGGAAAAAAGAGAACAACAATATTTTCTGATGCTTCTTAGAATAATTAACAAACTTAATAATTCTAGGCATATTTTCTGAGATTAAATTCTATTAAAATCAATGAGACTAATTTCTAAATACAGATATTTAGAATATAAAAATGCTTTTGTGAATCATTTAAAAATGCAGTGCTGGTGTTAGGTTAACCGGGGTCCCCAATCTCTGGGCCACGATGCACTACTGGGCCGTGAGTCATTTGCAACCAGGCCATGGAAACAATGGGTGAGCATGTGCACACCCTCATCCCTACTTGTGTGAACAATGGGCCAGCGTGTGCACAAGCACTTCATTTGTGTGAGTGACAGGAGTGCATGCACGCTGCTCATGCAAATGGAGCTGCAGATGCATGCTTGCCAGAAGCTCGCACAGAACCATCCCCTCTTCCTCCCCTCCACTGGTCCACAAAATCGGGAAGGTTGGGAACTTTGAGGTAAATTGGGAGAAGGAATTTTGTAATAGATTGTTTAGATTTTGCTATGCTTGTTGAAGCTAAGATGGATTTATGGTTGTTGTTGTTCAGTTGCTAAATGGGCCCCATGGACCAAGGCATGCCAGACTCTCCTGTCTTTTCAGAGTTTGCCCAATTTCAGATTCATTGCATTGAGAATTTATAGTACTTCATATATTTAATTTTGAGGTTTCTTATACTTAAGAAATATTGAAAGCATACCTGGATGATAGAATTATTTATGAACATACAAATTAGAGCATTAAGAATGATATTGTTTTAAATAGGAATTTTTCAATACGTATTTAAAGTATGAGAAATACTATGTTGAAGATGAGATTTACTAACTAAAGCAGTGATAAAATTAATTGCAACTTTTCTGTTTTATTAAATTATTTTAAAGAATTATTACTGTAATTTTTACTATGGTACTCCTCATTCACCAATTTATTCAAATACGTATTTGTTTATATGACCAATATTATATGTTTATTTGTTATATTTATATTGCATCTTTTATTCAGGAGTTCAGTGTGGCATACATAGCACTACCTCCTCACATTTTCCCAATAACAATGCTGCAAGCTCATTTGGGCAAAGACAGAATCTGATTCAGATATATTCAGTAAACTTCTGCTGGAAATGCTACAACAAAAAAGGAACAATTTATTGGATGGTGATGATGCAAAAAGACTCAAATTTATTTGAACAAAATAGATAAAAATATTCAGACAGTTCTAAAAATAAACATTGATCTATAACCACTTTACAAAATATGATTCCAGATAATATAAATAAAAAGCACCAGAATTCATTATGTATATGCTAAGAATCAATCGGGCACAACATTGAAAATCAGAAAACTTACTGTCAATAAAAATAATGAAATTAAAAAATAGGTGTCAATGGAAAAATTGACCATATAGATTCACAGCAGAAGTCTAACCAAGTTTTAAAAAAATAGTTTCCTTATATACAACACATTACACAGCAAAGCAGATTCAGACACTTGAAATATGATATTTGAAGAAAAACAGAGCTTAAAAAATAATAGTAAAAATAATCTAAACACAACTTATTAACATTATCCAAAACATAATATAAAAATATTCAAATAGCAATTAGTGGCTGTGAAAAATAGGAGGAGAGGGGGGCTGCTAGAATGCCTTTTTAAATATATATATTAATCTGTTTTGCTTTCTTTAATTTTGAAACATCTTTTTATATAACCATCATTTGTGTGTGTATCTCATTTTCCTTTCTCTTTGTTTTTGCTTTTTTTGTTTGTATGTTCAGTAGACTTTAGATAATATTTTTATAGTGAAAATATATTTCAGAAATGATTAACTTACATTTATTTAAAAATTCCTGATTAAATGGAGATGTAGTAAAATTAATACTTCAGTTAAATAGTTCGACAGTCCAACAGTTGATTCCATTTGGGAAAAAATATTATATACATTTTGTCTGTAGTTACTGTTTCCATTCATTGCAAAGTTTACTATACAACTTTATATATATCTATGTATGTGACTATACACCTAGTATGATTGTGTTTCTTTTTTAGATTTTCGCTTTCTTTTATAGTTTTGTGTAGTCTTTTTCTATTATTTAAAAAATATTTAATAAAAGAAAAGGAGTTTTTCTAAAAAAAGAGAAAATTTCTGGGGGTAAAGATGGATTGAATTTTGGTCTTCCCATTACCAGTCTAGTATTGCAATCATTATAAAATACTGGCTTTTAATATGGTAACATTGGCATATTTTGCAAGATATAATGGGTTGTGAGAATGACCTCGGGAAACAGGACAAAGAGGCACAGCCTAGACAATAGTTTGATAAACAAAATCTGAGTCTAATGGAAGGATCGGGATGAAGAAAGTCTGGAGAATAAAAGTAAGGATGGGGAAAGATACTTTCAGACTTGCAAGTTATGATAATCTTACAACTAAGATAGTGTTAGTATTTTTGATTTGTACTTCTTGTCTGGGGTCAGCCTTGAAGGGCTGTCACAAGACTGGGGTGCATAGTTTATAAATTATCCAGTGTAATTAAACAAAAGGAAAAATTAAATTGAGTCATAGACCCAAACTTCCAATTGTTGCTTACTGCAAAATATCTCATATATATGCTACATAAGAGAGGTATTTGGTCTAGTGCAGGGGTTCTTTGCTGGCTGAGAAATTCTGGGAGTTGAAGTCCACAAGTCTTAAAGTTGCCAAGGTTGAGAACCCCTGGTCTAGTGGTTAAGACACCAGGCTACAAAACAGGATACTATGAATTCTAGTCCTGCCTTAGGCATGAAAGCCAGCTGGGTAACTTTGGGCCAGTCACTCCCTCTTTCTCAGCCCATAATATCAAGCTTGGGCAACAAGCTAGTGTGTCAATTCATATCAAAACGCAGGTC